AAAAAAGAACTTATTATTTTTCCTTGAATTTTTATTCTAATAACCAATATTTGACATATTTCTCTTGATTAAATAGAATGGATCACATCAATGAAATGCTTTCATTATCTTAAATTTGAAAAGATCACGTACACCTCGGACAATTTGTTATGGACAGATGGGAGCCCTCGAATAGAACAAAATGTGAATGGAAGTGCCGTCCCTTGAACTTAATTGGCTACTTATGTTGCATGTTTGTTTTTTTCGTGGATTGATACTTTTCATATCCCAATATGATTTATTGTTTATACATGATGTCCCCACCATTTCCAAAAATTCTCTCTCAAGGAAATAGGAAGATGGGACCTGGTAGTCTAGTAGCCTTATTTTCCACGAATCTAGCCCAAACAACATTGAATAAAAGGATTATGACTTCTTTCGTCTCTTGTCGATGATGTTCTTGTTTATCAATAAAAGAATGTGAAGTGAAATCAATTCAAATTATATATTTTTCTTTATGGAATGAAAGATAAATTTTCATTATGGGAAATTTCTCGAGCCTTTCCAGGAAATTACGCAACGTGATGAAAGAGACTTCTCACGACTTAAAACGTGAAGTGAAATCCATTGATGTTACATACTTTCTTTTTGGTGGGTATCAATTAGAATAGTTGATGTCCCGAGCATTTGTTTGTTTGTTTTCTTAGTTTGGGGTCTTGTGCGTGGGTAGCTGAGCGTCGGTGCATTGTTCGCTATAGGAATCAAATAGCCTTTGTCCTATTGTGACGTGGGGGAATATATGTAGGGCACTGACCAAATTACGAGAGCTTCTGAATTTATTCTAAGACTATAGTTTTAATGAAATGGGGACGACGAGGGCAAAGCATGCGGGTGACTCTACTTTCGGTGCGTGCATATATTAGACTCCTCCGATACTTGTTAATATATACTATTGTTTAATGAACCCACTCGAATACCAGTCTTGCTATACCCAATCAAATGCGTCGGTTTGAATTTATCTAGAGCGTGGAAAAGTTATTTAGTTTATTAAATTAGCAGTGAAGTGGAATCAGTTTTCCTTTTTGTCAGAAATGCATGCTTCCATTTCATTTAAGTAGATAAAGTGAAGGACCCAAATGAGCTTCAGCAGACAACATCCAAAAGGAGTTTAGGGGGCTGGAAAGCCAGCACTGAGGAAGAGTGCCGTGAAATTGAGCTTTAGGGCGCGAATGGTAACCATTCTGCTCCAGAAATCAAATTCTTGCCAGAAATTGATTTCCGGAATTCTTGCTAGAAATTGATTTCTGGAGGAGAAATCTGTTTGATAAAACATGACTAATTCTGTTCCAGAAATTGATTTCTGGAACAGAAATCTATTTTGATTTATTGATTTTTTTGGGCACCTCAAAAAAATTAAATTTCACTCAAAGTTGGTGCCCAAACATATTCTAAGCCATTTTGTGAAGTTTTGAAATTTTTTATTTTTTGATTTTTTTTGGCACCTCAAAAATTTAAATTTCACTCAAAATGGGTGCCCAAAGGTATTCTAAGCCATTTTGTGAAGTTTTGAAATTTTTGATTTTTTGATTTTTTTGGGCACCTCAAAAAAATTAAATTTCACTCAAAGTGGATGCCCAAAGGTATTCTACCATTTTGTGAAGTTTTGAAATTTTCGATTTTTTGATTATTTTGGGCACCTCAAAAAAATTAAATTTCACTCAAAGTGGGTGCCCAAAGGTATTCTAAGCCATTATGTGAAGTTTTGAAATTTTTGATTTTTTTCATATTTTTTGAAAAAAATTCACCAAATTTCCTATTTTCCCGAAATTTGACTTTTTTTTTATTTTCTAGAAATTTTTATGAATTTTTCTGGAATTTTTCAATTTTTATGCATTTTCTGAAAAAAAAATTAGTGAGATTTCAAAATATGTTGTAAAGGCAACGAAAAAGAGAGAAAATAGGGAAAATGTATTCTGGAATCAAGAAGCTACAAAAAGTAGCTTCTCTTTTTCTTGCCCAAAACTCATTCTGGAATCAAGTATTTTTAACAAACGCATTTTTATTTTATAATGTAAAAATTGCTCCAGAATGCATTTCGAAAATTTTTTAACAAACGCATTTTTGTTCCGGAATGCATTCTGGAGCAGAATTAATGGATTTCATGCGCGCCACCCATTTCGCTGCTTTATTTTGGATTGTAAAGCAGTGGGATAAACATTAAAAAAGGCATACAAGAAAGCAGGGCTCCGACAATCTTTACCTAACTACTTCAACATGTTGGTCTTCACACGTGACTGACTGAATTGTCAGGCTCCACTTCCACGAAGACTTATCTCCCCGTGTTCTCTCCTCTATTCTTTCATAAAGCGCTGGCCTTCAAGCAATAAAGCACTACTGGCCTTCAAGCAGTGCGAGGGCTTCCGCGTGAAGAGGCGATTGAGCTCGAATCAGACAAGCGAATCGTCCCGTGAGCTTCCCTGAGGTGTCTCAGCACACACCGGCGACTGCACAAGACATAGAGCCAGCAACGAAGGCCGCGTCCACATTAAGCTTAAGAGCTCCTTTCTCCGGCGGCGTCCAGATCGCCGGTGAGATCCCTTCTCGTTCTTGTATTTTTCTTTCGATTCGCGCGGCAAGTTTTGATATCTTCGTGCAAGGCTATCGCTTCATTATCTGTCGCTTGCGGGTCTGGTGATTTGCCTCTAAAAATCGCACTTTTTCTCACCTTCCACTGGAACCAGAGTACTTCGGAAACGAGCTGGAGAGACGGCAAGGCTGGTAATCCACTCTTGTAGCTGATCTACGCTTGTGAGGCCTTGATCTTCAATTCGGATTTGTAAATTGTGGTCTGACCAAACTTTGGTTGTCCAGGGACAAAGGAGAAAGACGTGTTCTGGCGTTTGGGGGGGCGTCTTACACACTGGGCATAGTGGGTCAGGTAAGTTTCTTCGCTTGAACAAGTTTTCCTTTGTAAGCAAGGCATTTTGGCAAACTTGCCAGAGGAATAGTTTGATTTTGGGTAGGGTGTTCATGTTCCACACTTTAGACCATAGGGCTCGTGGTATTTGGGGCGAGGATGAGGCTTGTTGATTGGTTGGGCTGCCTGCTTCTTTTCTGAGATGATTGTACCCGCTTTTAACTGAGTAATTCCCTGATTTGGCTGCTGTCCATACTAGTCTATCTTTCTCTTCCATAGATGGGATGGGGATGGCCAAGATTTCCTTCACAATACTGTCTTCAAACAAGCTATTAAGGCTTTGTTCATTCCATTTCGCCTGGTCTCTATCAATTAGTTCAGACACTAATTGGGGATCATCTTGGTTTGATGGACTTGCAATTGTGCCCAATCTTGTCCACTTGTCTTCACGAATTCTAATCGATTTCCCATTCCTTACTGACCATTGAACTGAGCCAGCTAATGCATCTCTTCCAATCAGCAAGTTGTGCCACCCCCAGGACAATCTTTGTCCTTTCCTCACATGTCAAAAATCAGTGTTGGGGAAGTAGAGCCCTTTCAGTATTTGGCACCAAAGCGTCAAAGGTAATTAGGTCAGCATTTGCTCAGCATTGCCCTATTAAATGCAATTAGGTCACGAAAACCCATACCTCAACGGTCCTTCCTCTTTTTCATTACCTCCTAGCACTTCCAGTGTATACCAGCCTTGGAATCATTGTTTTTCCACCAGAATGAGGCAATCTTTTGTTCAATGGCTTTACAAAGGGAAAGCGGTATCTTGAAGATTGGCATGGTATATTGCGGGAGCACTTGGTGACAACCGTTTTCAATAGGATCTCCATTCTAGCCTTTGACATCATCTTTTCCTTCCACCCTTCAAGTTTCATAATTACCCTGGCCAGTATCCAAGCGAACATTTGTTTCATTGATACGCCCTAATCCGAAGGGATGCCCAAGTATTTCCCTGTTTTGTCTATTTCTGGGACTCTCAATTCCTATGCCATATCCCTGCAAAGATTCTGGGGGCAGCCCGAGCTAAAGAAAACACTTGACTTGTTTAAATTGATTGCCTTGCCCGTGGCAAAACAGTATTGATTGAGAATGTTAGCCTGGTTTTGGCATTCTATAACTTTTCCTTTTGGGAGAAAGATAGAATCGTCCCCAAACAACAAGTGGGAGAGACTTGGGCAATGTCAATTTAGCTTTATTCCTTTTACTCTACCATCTTCAACTGCTTTTTATAGTAAGGAGAGGACATTAGCCACAAGTATAAAAAGATAAGGTGAGAGAGGGTCACCTTGTCGGATTCCACGTGTCAGGTTGAAATAAGGCAAAGGCTCCACATTGAACTTCACACTAAAAAATATTGTAGTCACACATTGCATGATCCACGAGACCCAATTTCTACATAAACCCATTTTCAGCATACAAGCTTCCAGGAAGTCCTGCTCAATCCTGTCGTAGGCTTTTTGCATATCTAATTTCAGCACTGCTTGGAATTTTTTCTTCCTTTTCCTGATTCGTAGTTGATTCAGTACCTCTTGAACTATCAAGATATTATCCTGAATTTGGCTTCCACTAACAAAGGCACTCTGTTCCACTTCAATCAATTGAGGCAGCCACGTTCTTAACCGGTTAGCCTACACCTTTGAAATGATCTTGTACGTGAAGTTGCAAAGGCCGATGGGTCAGTATTGTTAATTAGAACTTGACATGAAATCAATTGATATATTTTTGGGTTTGTTTGTTTGATGGAAATTAGTGGAATTGTTTTCATGAAAGATGAGTCATTTTCTTATGTTTGATTGTGTTGAAAATCACTTGAAAGAAATTGTGGTGTGTAACAAAAAACGAAATTGATTGGAGAATCCATTACAAATTGCCTTTAAAACAACAGTTCAGTCGTATAGTTATTGTTCACGGTGCTAATAAATGAGACGAGTTTACGAAATCAGATTTGAACTTGTCCTGTTGTGACCTGGGGGAAAATTTTTAGTTTAGTAAATTAGAACGTGAGGTGGAATCAATTGATCAGAATGGTTTATAAAATAATATTTTATTGCAGGAAATTTCGTCAGCCCTTCCCACGATTCTTTGGCTCGTCCATAAATACTCCAAAATTGCATGCATTAGACACTACTCTCTTACATCTCTCTCCTCATTATTCAAGTCGATCACTACACTCTAGCTCCCAAAGATGGCAAAGAGAAAATATTCGGATGGACCAGCGGCGTCCACTAGTAGAGGCGATGTCGAGTCGTCGCTGGGGGCTGAATACGAGGTGTTCTTGAGTTTTAGAGGGCTCGACACTCGCCGGAATTTTGCTGACTGCCTCTATCATGCCATGGATGGAGCTGGCATTTGTGTTTTTAGAGATGACGAAGAGATTAGAAAAGGCGAAGAGATCGGAGGCGAACTGAAACGTGCGATCGAGAGCTCCTCAATCTGTATTCCCATCTTCTCTAGAAACTATGCTGTCAGTGCGTGGTGTCTTCGCGAGCTTGCATACATGGTGTATCGCAAAGCAATGATTCTGCCGGTCTTCTTCGACTTGGAACCCAGAGATGTCAAGCTTAAAACTGAGGTGTACCAGGATGCTCTGCAGAAGCACAAGGAGAAGTACGGCTGTGAGGTCGTGCAGCGATGGAAGGAGGCTCTGGAGAAGGTCGCTGGTATGAGTGGATGGGATCTCAAAAATACTGGGTAAGGTTTGAGCTTTTATTTTTTTTCCTTTGATTAGATATTTAATTGATATAACTATAAATAATAAGGAATATTATCACCCTTGCATTACAAGTTAAAATTAGCCATGGTTCTCTTTTTCATCAAATTGTCACTCAATTCCCACATATTTTATAACTATTCATTACACATCCACTCAACTAAATCGATTCCTTTAAAAAATAGATGAATTTTCCACTCAATTAAATCAATTCCTTTCAAAACTAGATGAATTCTCTATTACGACACAACAAATCCAATCTGAATTCATTATTCAATTTGCATCTTTTACATTGAATAAAAATACCTTTTCTTAACTTCTAAATCAATGTTATGTAGGTTAGATTTTATAAAACAATTGTTCTAACTGTTACTATTTTACTCCATGCAGAAGTAGTAAACCGGGCACCCACAATATACGAGCAATAAAAAATGAATAAACAATCCCTTTGCATATATCTAAAGGAAGAAAATCCAAAGGATTCGATTTTTACAATTTAAGAATGAGGGAGCTTCTTTTACAAAGTTTAATATTTCATTCTTATCTTAACAATTTACATCTTTGACCATAGTATAAGATACACAATTGCAATTCGTTTTAAGTAAATTGACTGGATTTTGGTTGATTTTTTTTTTTCTGAAAAAAGGAGTATGGATTGAAAGTATACGTGGGATTACTTTGTATATAATATAAATTAATATACTTTTTGGTGAAGGACAGGGGCAATTCACTTATAGTTGATTTTTTTCCTATATATTCCCAGAGTATATATACAAAATTTTTTGGGAGGGGGGTCGTCAACCCCGCTTCCTCACCCACCGCTCCTCTATAGGTGTTTATGTTTAATTCATAATATTCCAGAGGTCGATATTTAATATTTTATTTGGATGTTTCTTACAAGACCCTTTTATCTAATATGACAGTCATGGCGAACTCATTAAATTAATCGTTGCTGAAGTTTCGATCAAGCTGAATAAAAGAGACAAAAAGCTGCCGGATCAGTTAGTCGGAATTCAGTGTTGTGTTGAAGATGTCATGCGCCTAATAGATGAAGGTTCTCCTGATGTACGTTATCTAGTAATCCACGGAATGGGGGGCATCGGTAAGACGACTCTTGCCAAGATCGTCTTTAACCAAATTCATAGTCAATTTCATGGGTGTAGCTTTCTTTCAAATGTTCGAGAAGCTTCAAAGGGCAGCAAAGTAGTTCAATTGCAAAAACAATTATTGTCAGAAATTCTCAACTCCAATCCACCGGAGTTTTATGACTCTGATGCAGGGATTTACCAAATTAACATGAGATTCCGCCGCAAGAAAGTCCTTATTGTTCTCGATGACCTAGATGAAAGGGAGCAACTCTCAAATCTTGCAGAAAAGCCAGATTGGTTTGGTATAGGAAGCAGAATTATCATTACAACAAGGGACACCAACTTTTTGCAAATTGGAGAGGAGATCCAAGAAAATAATGTCCAAACGCATTTTGAAGAGTTTATAATCTATCAAATGAGAGAATTGCGTCATAGGCATGCTCTTCAGCTTTTTTGTAAGCATGCTTTCAGAATGGACTCCCCTCCACGTGACTACGATGATATTTCTCGTGAGATTGCTCTCAAAGCTAGTGGACTTCCTTTGGCTCTCGAGGTTATCGGTTCCTCTCTCTATCGCCAAAGTAAACGACTTTGGAAAGACACGTTGAAGAAATTAAATGCGGTTCCAGATCAAAAAGTCCTTGACAAATTAAAGATTAGCTTTGAGATGCTAGACAATGCACAGAGAGATATTTTTCTTGATATTGCATGTTACTTTATAGGTGAAAACACAATCTATCCACATTATATGTGGAAAGCGTTGGAATTTTACCCAAGAAGTAACATCATTGTCCTTACTCGTAAGTCTATGATAAAGGTTGATAATGATGATAGATTGTTAATGCATGACCTGCTCAGAGACCTTGGAAGAGATATTGTTCGACAGGAAGACAAAGTTCCTAGGAAACATAGTCGACTATGGTGTCCCGAGGTTTCATTGGAAGTACTGCAGACTAGAATGGTAAACTTTCAAGGGAACATCAGCTCGAAGTTTATTGTATATTCTTGGATGTGTTCTTTTGCTTGTGTTGCACATCGCAAAAAACTAAATTTGTTAATTTTGAGTGAAATGAAGGTAATATCATAGTTTATATCTAGCAAACGATATTAATAGCTTATATTTACAATCTGAAAGTAGAAGCAAATGGAATGGTTTACTTATAGAAAAAGTCTATGCAGTATTACTCACGAAATGTGCTCTTTTTCTTCACAGTAGAAAGTTTACTCATACCTGTTCATGTTGATAGGGAACAGAGAACATCACAGCACTCAAACTAACTGGACTTCCAAAAGAGCATGACTTTACAAATGAAGAGTTTTCATGGCTACCTAGCTTAAGGTTGTTGGAACTAGAGGGGGGTAACTTGGCAGGAGACTTTAAGAATCTTCTCTCGAGTTTAAAATGGCTCTCCTGGCGTCGTTGCCCTTCAGACTTGCAGGCGGTCAATCTATGTTTACTGAACTTAGTTGTGCTCAAGCTTTCGGACAGCGAAATTCCCGAGAATTGGAATGGATGGGGTCCATGCTTGGTATGTTCTCATATCACATATGTACATTTGTTGCCAATTCCGTTACCGTACTTTTTTAATTCTAATTTGTTTCGCAGGCAAATTGTGACTTGAAAGTTATACATCTCATGAGATGTCATCTCTCGATAGCTCCCGACTTCTCAACGTGCTTGAATTTGAGGATATTGGTTTTTGCTGAACATTGTCCAGCGTCACCACAAATTGGTAGCTCTATCAGTAAGCTAGAGCGCCTCAAGCGCTTGGAAGTAATTGCAGCCAGAGGTCAGTCGTCAAAGTTGTCTGGGAGCCCCCATTTTGACATGTGCGTAGTGCTGCCTTCTGCAATATGCCGTCTAAAGTACCTGTCAAGTCTAAAGCTAGAGGGGCAGTGTATGCAAGAGCTTCATCCATCTATTGGAGAGATAGCGGGCTTGAAGTGCTTGTCTTTAGTGCATTGTTATCGGCTTAGAAAGCTTCCAGACTCCATTGGGAAATTGAGATCATTGCTCGACTTGAATTTGTTCAACACAAGAATCAGAGAGTTACCCGATTCTATTGCATATCTCAAAAGGTTGGAGAAAATGAACCTGGGATACACTCGAATAAGGGAGCTACCAAACACCATTGGAGAACTAGAATCATTGCTCGAGTTTGACTTGCAGTATACTAAGATTATAACATTGCCTGCTTCTATCGGATATCTTAAAAGACTGCGGCGCTTATTTATGGTTTTCAGTAAGATAAGGGAGTTACCTAATTCTATTGGAGATCTCAAAAGGTTGGAGGTAATGAACTTGAGAAGCACTCAAATAAGGGAGCTACCAAACTCCATCGGAGAACTAGAATCATTGCTCCGCTTAGACTTGAAGGCTACGAAGATTACAGAACTGCCTGCTTCTATTGGATATCTTAAAAAGCTGCAACACTTAGATATGTACGGGAGTAAGTTACGAGAATTGCCGAAGGCCATAGAGATGTTGGAGAATCTTGAAATGTTGACATACCCCGGTTGTAGAAATACAGATATCACATGGCCTCCTAAGCTTTCGCAACTTTACATACATGATGATGATCCTCGATCTCTCACCTGGCCTCCTCAGCTTTCGAGACTTTCCATATCTTGTGATGATCCTCAATCTGTCCAAAGTCTTCCTTTAGGTCTTCGTTATTTGATATTAGAAGGTGTCAAGTCACCGATAAAACAGTTACTCCTCTCCGAATTGAGATATTTGCCCGAGTTAGTACTCTCTAAATGGGGATTGAGAGAGATCGAGTTTGAACAGCTAGAGAATCTCCATTGTTTAAGGGTGTGGGAGTGTGAATTGCTGGTGAGGCTATCAGGTCTATCACGGTTAGGGAAGCTCGAAGAGCTACAAATCCGTTCTTGCTCACAGCTAATTGAGATTCGAGATTTGGAAGAAATAGTATCGCTGGAGAGATTATATATTGATGAATGTAGCTCTTTAGAAAGGTTAACTGATCTATCAAAACTACACAAGTTGCGGAGTTTGTCCATAAATCAATGTGAATCACTGCAAGGTTTGCCTGATTTACCAAAGTTACTAGAGGTATTATCAATTGAGAATTTGAGCTCTATAGAAAGGTTACCCGATCTATCAAAACTACATAAGTTGCGGGACTTGTGTGTAAGTCACTGTAAATCACTGCAAGATTTGCCTGATTTACCAAACTCACTGGAGAAATTATCAATCGGGAAATGGAGTTCCATAGAAAGGTTACCTGAGCTATCAAAACTGCTTAAGTTGCGGAGATTGCACCTCTTTCACTGTAAATCACTGCATGGTTTGCTTGCTGTAACAAAAACTTGTCATCGCGATGTTCATGCGTGCCCAATGCTAGGCGAGTCTCGTGACGTTTGCGAATTTTGGCGATTGTGTGAGAAATCCAACCCTGGCCTATCTTCAAGGAGGCGAATTATGTGGGTGTGACACTAGGTAATATTTCCCATTTCACAAGTCCTTTCCCTTATTTTCTTCTATTTTTTTGTTTCCCTACCCATTTCTTTATTACATTGTCTCCTTCCAAACAATCAGCCAACTTTTTTTTAGTTCTTCCTGTTCACTCTACATATGACTATCCACATTTTTCACATTGCAAAATTACTCGGTCTAATCTTATCTAGTTAAATTAATTAAATGCGTGGCGGTGCGTGGTGCTTTATGAGAAGTTGACAATGACACTTTCTCCACCTAACACGTGGCACTTTTTCTTTTAATTTTTTTTCTTGTCTTAGGATAACTTAATTATGATTAACATATGAAGAAATGCCATGATTTTTTAAAAGAAAAATCACATGAAGCTTCATCATAATAGTATTAATTATTAGGCAAAAACTTGTATCCACTATATGATGAAATTAGAGGAAAATCGGAACAAAAGAACCTGCACCAGAAATAAGACTAAAGTTTATGGCATTAACCAATGCAATGGTCAGAGCAAACTGAGCTAAAGCAGAGGATTTTCATAACTAATATAGCATGGTCATAACAAAGTTGGCGTTGAAGTTAAAAGAGGTTAAATTCAAATTATCTAACAAACAAAAAGTGACTTTATGAGAAGAGAGTTAAAGCCATGAATGGATCCTAAACTTTTGTAAAATGTTCAATTAGCTCTTTGAACTTGCTTTTTTATTTATTTTTGTTTTGAATTCTTGAACTATATACTATTTTGTTCATATTGGTCCTTTCTTCAAAAAACTGCTGACATCGCAATTAAATCACCGTTAAATGCGACAGTGGTATCCTAGTTGACAATGTTGGGAGTTAAATATCAACATCTGAAGGTAATTTTTATATCTGAGATGATATGCAACGGTGGATTCGGTGGCTGTAGAGGGAAGGTTGGATTAGGAATTAGTGTATTTGAGTGGAACTAGGTACAATCAAGTGGGATATGATAGATAAACTAAGGTGGAAGGCGTGAAATAATGCCCCTCAAGCGCTCTTAAAAGAACCAAGCAACTTTGCTATCAATCTGCTTCTACTCCCTTGATTATGATCTTTTGGTTATTTTACTTTTCTTTCCTAATTGTTGTTTCTAATCAAATAGTCAATATACATGCAGGGAACATTGAGGAGCACAAAGCATTTTTTTGATACTTTATATAAGTTCGTTTACCTGCAAGGGACATCTGAAACCACGTGTGAGTACACCTCCTTTTTAAGGTTCATAGACTTTTTTAGCTCTTTTTAGATGTAGAGTCAGTCTACTGCGTAATTGATAATTTCAGGGCTTGGATTTTCCTGAATTTCTCTCGGTTTGTGTGATGAACTCCTGGCATAATGTATTATTAGCTAGACATCATAGAGTAGGGTATGATTTCACCTCGCTGGATGAGAAACAGAACTTTCATCCTAGATTCCTATGATTCTGATGAATTATATAGTTGATGCTGTAAAACTCGTTTTATAGTTTTTGATTTGATGCTTCAAGTTCAGTGAATAAGTGGTTGAAGTATGTAGAATTAGCATTTTTGTCATGGATGAAAAGCTTGAAAACTACAACCTATGTCCGCATGAAGATATAGGGTACTCTAAACATTGTGGAACGCTAAAATAGCAATATGAACAGTAACCAGTTCACCATACGATTAGAAAGCGTTTACACATTTTTGAAATCTTGGAAACTAACTTGGATGAATGATCATAGTAACATTAAATAAAATGTTGCTCAAACTCATAATCTTGCAACAAGAACTGGCAAAAGAAACTTTCTATGTTACAAAGTGAGTGATGGTGGATGAATACCTGGAGCTCTATCACGATCCAAGTTATTGGACATACTTTGTTACAGATGAATCTTGTTGGAAAATTTGAAATTACACAGAAGTATGGTGTTTGATATCAATGATAGTTTGTGTTTTGATGCGTGCAAGTGTACATGCGTGTAGGATATTTTTGGGAGAGGATGGACAAGGGACTAGGTAGGATAGTTCAAGCATATAGGGTTATAGGCAATGGGATATAGAAAATATTGTTTCACTAGTTTAACATAATGGTGTGACATAGCTGGAGGAGAAGTTGTTGGTGTCGGTGGAGGAGTACAAGGGTATGTAGGCCATCTGAGCTCTACTTCCCACGCCTAGTACATGAATGACTCCCTCCCTATTTATAGAAGAGTTTCACCAACTTCAAGCACAACAAATTTGACTTGTTCCACCGCCATAGCAATGTTTTGGACTTCTCTTTATAGCTATCATTTCTTGCAACTCACGTCCGTCTAGAGTTCTCTAGATTGGACTAGAGATTTCTTCGTAAAAAATGGATCACAATTGTCAAAGTAGATGAGGTACCTCCGAATTGGTAGCTTGATCATTAAAACTATCTTGGACTAATGAACTGCATGATCACGATCTTAATGTGTAAGGCAATTCATGGTGAGATGAGAGGAGAAAGTCCTTGTAATTCTTGACATGATTCTTCTTGGAGAAGAACTAATTCCTTTTAATGTTTAGCTCTTGTACTCTCAATACTCTACATTCAATTAAGAGAGAAGAACAACCAAAAATCATTTAGATTTTCCCTCTTAATTGCTTGAGTCAAATATAAGGCGAGGGGCTTTTACTGCAATTGGTTTAGAGTATTCATCTGATATGCTTGGTTTCTTCCATGTCAAGCAGGATTCTCTTTCTAAAATTAATGGAATGATGCCCTCCAAGTTACTTTCATTATTCATTATTTTTGGAAAATAATATTCTATCAAAGTGTTTGCTTACTTGACATCAACTTGTCGGCCCGTTTTCACAGTAAAAACTGCAAGCTTAATCATTTAGTCGTCTGGGATTTATTTTTTCAGTCGATCAAAGTTGTTTGAATGTCTCAGCACTCGTATTAGTTTCAACTAATGAGTCGGTCACATATTATTTACTTCGCTCTTGGGCAGCTGGCTATCTTGGACGGTCACTATGGCAGGTGGAGTTGGAATTTCACTCCCTGGAATGTTTCGATTAACAACTAATAAAACCATGTACATTGCACATATATGCGCTTGTCGGGGTTGTATTTATTCTACTTCCTTTGTAAACTTACTTCTGATCTTTTAATGTAAAGTGAGGTTCAATGCCATTGGCTATAGTTACACTAGATTTTGCTTCTGAGCTAGATTATAGTTTTCTGGCCAAACTAGAAAGCTAATTTATCATGGGATTGGTGATTGATTAACACAGATTTCATGTATGATATGATGGCATGGGAGGTCCCTGAACTTCTATTGACTTGCATTTGTCGTCCCTCAACTTTTGTTTTTTTTTTAGCAATCAAGTCTTTGAACTACATGTTTGTTTGTTCGAGTTAGTCCTTCTGTGAAACAGTTCAAATGCAATGCGGACATGCCCATCCACATCAACGCCACATCATCATTCTTCTTCAGCAAATTTCTGTAGTGGGATAAAAAAAATTTAAAGGAAACCCTCGAGAGAGAGAGAGAGAGAGAGAGAGAGGGGGGATGGGGAAGGTCAGGGCAAGGGCGACTCCGGCCACTGCCAGGGTGCAGGCGACTGGGCCTTGCCACCATCGCCTCTGAATGCCGCAAGCAACAGAGAAACAGAGGGAGTTTGAGAGAGCGTTAATGGGGTCTTCGCACAACACAAAATCTTCAAGAAAAGAGGAATCAAATCACTGTGTCAACAAACATGAAATAGCAAAATTCCCAAAACACGAAGCCAGAACTAACAATACCAATCAAACTCCGCAAAACCCATTAACCCAAATTAAGGAAAATTAAGAAAGCATCAACGAAAATAGCACAACGGAAATGCCAAGTTCTTTTTTTTTTTTATGGGGTTGACTCTATTTGAGTCCAATGCAGAAAAATAAGAAGAAGCAGCTTCAATGACCACGCTTGAGCTGTGTGCTCTCTGAATCATAGCCCAATTGCTATGACCAAGCAATTCATCAGAAATCTAGCAAATGTCGAACAATTACCAGATTATCGACTCTGGAGAATATTTCCCTTATTAATAAAAAGTGCAAATTAGATGGTGAAAAATTGCAAAATGCATTAAGTCCATTTCTATAGGAGCTTGCTGCATCCCACATGAGGCAACTTTTACTAAATCTCGGGTAAATGAATGTTCACAAACATTACTGCTAACCAGCCACCCAATCATTGGCTGACAATGTATATCGCCAATCAGCTGCTTATCAGTGCGTCGGTTGGTTTATCACATGCCTTTGATGGTTGGAGAAACTGTCATACGCAAGCCATACATTGGAAAATAGTTTGTTAGTTGAACCATATGGAAATCAATCTGTACTACACTATGAGAAAGACTTATCTGGGACATGGATAATGAATCCGTAATGCAGAGGCAGAGGAAATTCCTATTCAACATGAGTTCCTCTTTCTGAACACTTGTCCCTTGATTGGAGTTGCCTTTGAGTATGATCAAGAGGAGTTTGAAAGTCATCTTTTGAAGCAACCACTTAGCTGTTCAATCAACCAAAACGACGAGACTTGACTTGGTCTTTCCATTTCCTTGAATTCTGAATTACCCTTCAAATGCTTTTTCTCTTTCGAACTTTCAAAGAATTTCAACTTAAAAGCTAGGAAAGCTAGCGGTTGCAGATACATATTCTCACTGAGCATGTCTTGAACCTATTAGAAAATGTTTGAGCAAGTTCATCCCAACCCGCAAAAATAGGTGTTATTAAGTTCAATATGTACCTTTTCAGTCTGTGTGGTGTGACATGATAGCAGTAGATCAAAACATAAACAATAGAGGTGAAATACTTGAAGGTTTCCAGTCTCAGAGGCAGTTGATAGAATGGACGCTCTCTTCCCACAGTTTTAACATGTTTAGTTTGTTCAATTTAGAAAAATTATTATCCATATTATTGGATGACGTGGATTATTATATCTTGCTTTGAGTTGAATATTTTACGTGGATAATCCACGTGTAGCGTTATTTTTTTTGTCCATCATTCAAATTTACCGGATTAAAAGCCAAATTAATAAATTCCGTTAACTTGAATTAATGGAAGGATAACATTGAATATTTTTATATAGTCTAGGGACTATATTGAATATTTACCAAAAGTTCAGGTACCACTTTGAATAAATTAAAAGATCAGGGACGACATTGCACATTGGGCCAAAATTCAATAACCATTTATGTAATTATGCCTTATGTCATTGTTTTAAGTGTTAGATACTCCTATAATACTTTATGTGAGAGTTTTTCATTGATGATAAAAAAGTATCACCATAGAAGCGAGTATTTGAGGTAAAAGAGATGAAGAGTGGGTAAGTTGTGATGAGAGGATAACTTTTATATTCTTAAAAGCAATAAGTTTAAATTTGAATGAAACCATAATAGAAAAATAACTAAATTGCAAAAAAAAAAACCGTGCAAACATGATTGCGATCGAGGGTGCTTTGATATTTCGTATTTTTCCTTTAAAGTTTTATTCGAACTATCCTATATGTAACATAATTTACTTAATTAAAAACAATCCAATACATGAATGGAATGTTTTCTTTATCTTAAATCTGAAATGATGATTACATGCATCGGACCTTCATAGAAAAATACATTCACGCACGTCACGGGCAATATTATATGTATAGATGGTGTCCCCACTAACTGAATAGAACAAAATGTGAATGGAAGTGCCGTCCTTTAAACTAAATTGGTCACTTCTACGTTTCATGTTTGTTTTTTCTCCGTGGATTGATATCTTATCCGGACATGATTTATTATTTGTCCTATATGCATTTGTCCCTTGTGATTAGGGCCTTGTTGCAAGTAATCTTCAAGGAATCCACATCATGCAGAGACCTTATTCTTTTTAAATGCGTATTATATATTCATGCTTACGATTACGTCTCCACCATTTCCATAGTCTAGTACCCTAATTTCCGCGAATCTGGCCCAGACAATATCAATAAAGGTTGTGATTTCTTTTATCTCTTGTCATTGATGTTCATTAATTAATTGGAACGTGACGTGGAATCAATTGAAATTATATAGTTTTTATTTTAGAGTGATAGAATAATTTTTAATTTCTCGGGCCCTTCCAAGAAAAAATGCAATGCGACCAAGGAGACTTCCCACGACTTAGAACGGGAAGTGGAATCAATGCAATTATATATTTTTCTTTTTGGAGGTAATTAATTAGAATAGTTGATAGAATAATTTTACATTGTGGGAAATTTCTCCAACCCTTCCACGACTCTCTGGCTCGTCCATAAGTCCTCCAAAATCACGTCTATTAGTCACCATTCTTACATCTCTCTCCTCATTATCAAACTCTACCAGTCTTAGTCGAAGCATCCATATTCCACGTTCTTATATTTATTCAACTCTACCCGACTCTTGAAAAAAAAAAAAACAAACCTCTGCCTGACTAATTAAAATCAATACATTTTCTTATCTTTTTTCTCTTTTTGAAAACCATATAATGAAATACTGTAGAAATTAATGAGAAGTGCATGCACTGGGCTAAGACAAATGTCATCTATAACTAGATCAAACATGCTGCAATAGCCAAATAGAAATTGAATATATAGTTTTTGTGAGCTCAATTTATTTATGGTTATCTAATAACGCAACAACAAAATAAACGAGGGAATTGCAATAGAACGGTATACACATAATACTTGTGGAGAGTTACTCTTCTTCTTTTAGTTAATCATGCTAGTTGTGTGAGAATAAGTATAATAGAAGTCCTAATGTTTTGATGGTTGACTCATCAAGTCCTAAATGTCTTACTTTTAGTCAATTGAGTCCTAAATGTTTTGACAAACATGCAATCAAGTACACATGTCATTGCCGGTGGCCCTTAGTAACTGGACAATTATATTGTTTTAGAGTATTACGAAAAGGAGCATTATTTTAAGAACAATCAGAAAAATGGCATATTAATCTTGTCGATCATTGAGTAGACAACATTATTATGGAGAGCAATTACAAAATAAAGCCTAAATTTTACCTAAACAGATAAAAAAAAACCCAAAGAATAATTTTTATTCAATCACACAAAGTTGAGAAAAATTGAATTCTACTTTTCAATAAAATCTTAGAATCAAATTTCTCCACTCAATTTTCAAGAAACATATGTGTTTTACTCCTTGATTGTTATCATAACAAGGTTTAATTTTGTCAAAAACTAAAAGGACATGATTTTGTCATGACTAAATGGGGGATATTAGGACTCAATTGCACATTTTCAAAGGATTAGGATTCAGTTGACTAAATAGAATGTCTAAGACTCAATCAACAAACAACCGAAATGGTTTGGGCTCCTATAGCACATATTTGAGAACCTTTATTATTTAGTTGACACTTTAGAATAAAAAAAATATTAAGTTCTCATTTACATAATAGATAGACATATCATTCAATTAGGGATTATATTTAAAATAATTTAGCAAATAATATAACTTGTGATTTTATTTAGAGGAAAATGGATTGTCATGGGCGAGAAAGACAATACATTAAAAAGAGAAAAAAAGAACTTTCTAGTTACCTTCTTTGGGCGTTACCATAAGAGTTCCACACGTGTTACAAACGTTATGTTTGAAACTCTTCGTCTAATGAGAAAATATTGAAAAGAGAATATTCGATACTTTTCCCTTAAAGTTTAATTCGAACTATCACATATATAACATAAGTTTCTTAAATTTTAACAGAATGTGATACATGAATGAAATGCTTTCTTTATCTTAAATTTGAAAAGATGGATTACACTCATCGGTTGTGGAATTGTACATTCTCCTACACCATGGGCAATTTTGTATGGACCTAATGGAGTCCTTATGCATTGAATAGAACAACATGTGAATGGAAGTGCCGTCCCTTAACCAGTCATGATCTATTATTTTTCTTTTTTGTATTTGTCGCTAATGATTGGGTGCAGACTCTTTATTTTCTCTTA